GATCAAATATACTGAAAAGGATCTGCTGTTGGTGGGGTGTATGTGGATATTGTTCCAAATCATTGAGCAAAGAACATCTGGACTCGTCGTAGACCAGGCAATACCAGGCATATGATCAGATCGAGTTGTCTCCAACATCCTCCAATCACTGGGCTGATTCTTTGCAGCAAGTTGTTGCGGCAACTTGTCCGATGCCAGGAGATCTCAAATCGAGTGCCTTGGCATTTGCTGCCCATGGGATTTTGGGAGTCGGCCACAAACTGAATTGCGGTGCACCCATCCAACTCAAATCCAGTGGAGAGAAGTGGCGGTATTCTTCCAATCATGGCCCGATTCCGGACGCAGAGCAAGTGGATAGAAGGATTCGGGCATTTTCTTGGTGCATTTTTTTTTCCATTGCCAAATATATGTAGGGGTATGGGGGATGGTATGAGTCAATACTCAATACCTTACCCATTTTTTGGTGGGATGAACATCCATCACTAGCAGCTCTTTAGGTCTCTTTCTGGCTCATCGATTTCGGCCTTGCGGTGGAAGCCCAATCCTGGTGCCTGGGATGAGCACGGGGCCGACCCCCTAAGGACTATCCATAACCGGGGTGTTGAGATGGACTTCTAACATTTCTGCTTTGATGAACCACTTCTTAGAACTTCAATCACTAGATTGGAGGTATGAGAAGAAAAAATGTAAAAAATAACGGCAACTATATTTACTATATGATGTTTAGGTTGAGTATCTCTAATAGCGACCTAATGGCCGACCTCAATAAAGATGATGCTCATCGAATAAATCAAGCAAAACTAGAAAGAACGTCCAAAATATTCGTTGCTTGGCACTTATTTTCAAAAAATACGGAATATTTGTTTGACATTGTTTGACCATATATATTTTTTGTATTTTTTTGTGACTTTCAACAGCTTTAAATATTGGCACGTACTGTAAATATCACCAATCAAAGCTGTTGGAGCTGGGACCAAGAGAGGGGAGGAGGCAGTCCACAGGGGTTTCTGATCGCTTAGCTATCCAGGGGTTCAGGGACCTTCCAAATCCATGTTGGGTTGAAACATGGTACCTAAGTAAACCTTGGTTTGGTGACTTGGTGGGTCAATACAAACGGACCATGCCACGACTGCCTGAGACATCAGGCCTCAGAAATGGCACAACACCGACGTGGCGGGGGACTGTCGATACTGGGCGCCCTCATCCTTTGCCGGGAAAACCCAGATGAGATCAATGGAGACTTGACAGAATCCTATAAGGAATGTTCATGATATTATCTGGTTGGTGGTTTGGAACATGGCTGTTATTTTCCCCAATAGTTGGGATGATGATCCAATCTGACTTTCATATTTTTCAGAGGGGTTGAAACCACCAATTAGCTATCTCGGGAGAATATCTTGAGACAAGAAAGTCACACACACACATTTTGCCCAGGCAAGTTGATAGAAGGGCGGAGATAGAAGCGACTTCTTTTCCTGGAGTACTTGGCAAGGCAAAATGACGGATGATGAAACAATTGGAGGCTCTCCATTGTCCCCACGACTTGAGGTTATGAGCTTCTGCGGCCCAGAGGAGGGATCCAACGTCCACCCTGTGTGCGTGGATGCGACTATCCATCGTATCTGCGTTCACTGACACATCAAACGGCTTGATGTTCACTGCCACATCATCCGATAGTTGGAATATCATGATTGAAGGAAGCAGCAACACCAACCAGGAAGTGGGCACAGGTGACGGACAACCCTGCATTGATGAGCTTCAGATCCATCTTCTTGCGGCCTCAGGAGACGGCAGCAAGTCCAGATTTTTGTTCCCAGTACAAGACCAAATTGGACATCGTTGGTCTAGGTGGGGCCGGGTGGGCCGTTGCTGTGGGTTGCCAGGTAGGAGGCGACCCACCCAACAAATCAGAGATTCACCAACCCAAAAATGGGTTCCAAATCAGCCCAGAATGGGGGTTCTAGATTTTCGAGAAGTGCTGAAACAAGGACAAGTTACAGGACCCCCCACCATTTCGAGGTGCAAAACACCATGGTTTCCTGTCCATTTTTCCCCACAACCATGGGCCGGCGTGGAGATGTCCAGGCCTTACAGCCCTGGAACTCTTATGCAGCACCGCTTTAGCGAGCAAAGAGACCTGGGGTGCGCTGGGGGAATTCCTGGGGGGTGACGGGCTGGGCAGCCGAAATCGGGCTGGACTGTCCCGAGAATTGGGAGATGATGGGCATGATATAGAGCCCATAGTATTTGATTATATTTGATTTAAGTATCGTAAAATTCTGGTCCTCCAGCCAGGAAATGGCACATCTGCCAGTTTTATTTTCTTTTAAATCTATCAATATGGATATGTTCTATGGGGGAATTTGCCATTGCCAGCTTGATTTGCTGGATCTTGGTGTCTTAAGTTCTTGGATAATCCGGCGATCACTCCTGAGATGACAAACGTGTTGTGGATAACAGATACATTTTCTTTGATTCCAAAGATAGCTATATAATATTTTTGGTAATCAGATTCCATAAATATAGCCTATATGTAGATTCCCAAGAAAGATAACTTCCAAAGACAATGGATCAATATGGATCAATGCCAATTTCAGTTTTCGTTGAAACACATGACCCACATCGTTATTCATAGCTCTTATCATATGATCAATTGCTATCAATGCTATTATCAATTTTGAAAACCATTGCATTGGTGACCAATGACATCTTTGGTATATGATATACCATGATATACCATAAAATTATACCCCATAAATCCATATATAAATCCCATCCTCCTGATATTAGATAACCGCGAATCGAAATTCTGGTGGAACGTTTGCCGGATCAGAGGGCCCCATGACTGGGGGGGCATTTGATATCCCAATCTTGTTCTATTCTTTCTAGTCATCCCTGTTATCACCCCATTATCACTGGTTATATCACTCATATCCAAATGACGGTTGCTTATCCCAATAGATACATCGCTATCCTCATTTCAGATTAATATTCTATTAACACTACATAAAATCCATATTTCTATCTCTATACATAAATATCATACCAATTTTCAGGAGGATACTTTATTCACACTACACACATGTGTATATATATATATAAATAGACTATATATATAGCTGGTTGCTGGTTTGGAACATTTCTTATTTCTCCATATATTGGGAAGAATAATCCCATTTGACTAATATTTTTCAAGATGGGTTGAACCCACCAACCAGATAGATATATAGATAATTATCCCCATTTCCGGAGGATTAAGCCATCTAAAACCTCCATTTCCGATGCTTCAAAGCCAGCATTTTTTTTTTCGGAGGCCCCGATGGTCTCCGTGGCTCCTGGGAGCGCTTGCTGGATACCTGGGAAAGGTGCCATATTTTCATAGGGAAAACAACCAACAAGGGGGGTTGGACCATAGGAAGACAAATGGAGAAGATCATCAACAATTCTGTGATATTTCTGATTTTGTCTCGAACATGCTGGATTTATGGCTCAGTCTGTGGCAGTTCTGGCAATCTTAATAGGGAACATGAGAAACTGTGTAGCCTGGGCCGTCACCACCAAACATGGGGATGATCTCCCAGGAAAAAGCACTGAAGGAATCCCGAGGGGCCCTGGAGCCAGTGCAGCATGGATAGGATTTTTGTCGTTTGGGACACTTGGAATAAACATTGTACACACAATACATACGGTTATAACATGCAGGTTTTGGAAGGATTGACTGGAAAATCTTCTTGATTGGTAGCCATGTAACCAGGCCAACTGGGAGTATCCCATTGATACGAAGCCGGTGGGTTGGTGGGTAATAACCACCAGTTTCCTTGTAGTAGATTCAGTAGATACTGTCCCCCAACTGGGGTGAGCCTAAAAAAAACCTCTCCGCCCCAAGTTGGACCATGTCCGTCTGACAGGTATCGGGAAGATGTCACTCGTTGGCATTCCATGATTTTTCAGGTCTTCACGAAAGGAGGTGCCAGATTGCGCTTTAGCTTCCCAGCTGGTGGTTGACCTACCCCCTAAAAACAATATGCTCGTCTGTCGGGATCATCATAAAGCTAAAACATACCCTCTGGTAAACTAACATAGCTATTGAAAATGGCCATTTATAGTGGATTTTCCCATTAAAAATGGTGATTTTCCATAGCTATGTTAGTTTACCAGAGGGTACTTGAAACCATCAACCAGACCATGTTTGTGGTCGGAACTCCTCGACCGTGCCAAGAATTTTTGGGGTTTATCAAGGTGCACAAGGATCTAGAAGCGCAGGTTGCCCCCGATGTTGGTGACTGTGTGCCGCTTGTGCCAAGCATTTCTGCTCAAGATTGAACACACCTGAAAGAGACAATACCTTAAATCATTCAGAGCACAACGTCAAAAGATCCACGTGGTCACAAGCAAAGACAATCTTGTCGGCCTACAAATTCATCGGGAAGAAAGGCTCACATCATGACCCGAAATCACATCTCAAGAACACCTCTTAGCCATTCTTAGCCTATATCACAAAGTGCCTGTTCTGTTCCTTCCCAAAATCATCACGTTTCTTCTCCCCAAAGCACAGAATTTTTGCAGCGTTCCGTTCCTTTGTGGACAGCTTGAGGCGCAGCCCATCAGCCACCCAGTTCCCTCAGCTTCCCCAGTGTTGGAATCCTTCGCCATGGAGTGCCCGTACGAGCTCTTGGGGGTGTCTCGGGACCGCCGCGTGGATTGGGAGGGACCCGACCCTGGAGCGTCCAGTGGTCAAACGTGGGAAAGTTCCCTTTTTTTCACGTGCTTTTCCGGGGTGAGAAATATGTTCATTTTGGAGATAATGGATTGTATAGATACCTGAGAAAGGGATGCCCAATACATGAGGATTCTCGTGAAATGCTGTGAAATATACAATGAAGCTTAAACCAACACCTAGGACTGTTGATTTTAGACAAACATGGCACTTGATTGAGTGTTTTGCCTGTAGACCCACCGATCATGGCTTGGCAGGGTGCATGTCTGCAGCGACTCGTGAGTCTCAAGTTGAAAGATCTGCGACGTTTGGGAAGCCATGGCAATCATGGCTATGAACGAACTGAGTGTGGAATTGATCAGTGGCAGGGTTTGTACTGTGGAAGTGTTTCCGCAAATGAAGATAACAGAATTGCAGGAGAAACTAAAGGCAGAGGGTTTAAAACGGTGCGTTTTTGTCGTCGTTGTTGTTGTCGTTGTCGCTGAAGGAAGTGATGTGGCATTTGCAAGAAACACATGAAGCTCCAAACCATGGATGTCCTTTGAAAATTGCCAAAAAAGAGCAGCAACCCCCAGCTTTTTTTACAGGATCCAATTGGTCTACAGTCACATGATGGCACCCCCTTCAGGCTTTCCATCCATCGAAGGATGAGCTCACGCGGAGACTCAGCGACCCAGAGATTGTGGTGGACGGTGAAAAGCTCGTAGCGCTCGAGCACGCGATGGTGGAAGACTCCCTTTCTGACCATGCCAAAGTGCAGGTACAGACCTTTGCAAAGTCAGACAGAGTTTGGGGTGTGTTGAGATGTTCTTTTTTTTTGGTGCTAACGTGGGAATTTACATGTTTTCTTTGAGGGTGAATGGTTTTCAGCTTCTGAAAGACATTTGAAAGTATTACCATTTCCCGGAAGGTGTGGACTCATATGTTTTGCACCTTGCAGGTTGTCTTCGTCAACGCGACGGTTGAATGTGCCAGCAAAGAGCTATCTGGCCGCAAGGTGAAGGATTTGCGTGGAGTACGCATCCCTGACACTGAAACACGCATTAGACCCTTCGCCTTTGAAGGATGCCGATATTTGTTCCATCTTGAAATTCCGGAGTCGGTGACTGAAATTGGGCACCATGCCTTTCGTGACTGCAGCTCCCTACTCAGTGTGAATATCCCTAAGTCTGTGACCAAACTAGCAGATTATGCCTTTGCTGGCTGCAGCTCTTTGACAAATTTGACCATCCCAGAGTCAGTGACTGAACTTGGGTACCGGGCATTGAATGGCTGCAGCTCTTTGACAAGTCTGACCCTGCCTTCTGTGACACATCTTGGGTATGATGTTTTTTCTGGCTGCAGCTCTTTGACAAATCTGGCAATACCTTCTGCGACCCGCATAGGCTTTGACCTTTTTTCTGGCTGCAGCTCTTTGACGAGTTTGACCATTCCAAACCGCGCCACTGGATTAGGGGGTCGTGCTTTTTCTGGCTGCAGCTCATTGACCAGTTTGACCATCCCCAGATCTGTGACTGAAATACAGAATTCGACCTTCGCTGACTGCAGCTCTCTTACAACCTTGACCATTCCCAGTTCTGTCAGTAGCATTGGTGCAGATGCCTTTCGTGGCTGCATCTCCCTGACAACTTTGACCATTCCCAACTCGGTCACGAGAATTGGAGACCGTGCCTTTGACGGCTGCAGCTCACTGGTGACTTTGACCATCCCGGACTCTGTGAGGAACATCGGAGTGGATGCCTTTCGAGGCTGCAGTTTGTTGGATCTTCGGCTGCCGGATCTCAGAAAAGTGAGAAATGGGAAGGGTGGCTACACATATGAGCCATGGCCATCCGCTGCCAAACGACGTCGCCGATGATCGATTTCGAGATCCAAAAAGGGATGGTTCCAGGGTGGTTTTGGTGGTACATCCTGGAACCAGGTTGACAGGTTCCGCCCATCCTACGGCTTAGAAACCACAGCTGCTGCACCAGTTTGGTTCATTCCAATAGTTTTTTCTGGCAACTTGAGGAGGGCCAGATATTGGGGATTCTGAAAGATATAGCCTCTGGTTATTTAACATAGCCATGGGAAATGGCCCATTTATTTAAGGGCTGCCGCCCCTGCCGCCGACCCCGGAGAAAAAAAAGAGGTTTGCGCTGTGTTTTCACACAGCTCAAGTTGGTGGCTTTTCCATAGCCATGATACGAGAGGAGAGATAGAGAGAGAGAGATATATATATAGAGTTAAATTTCACCAGAGCGAGGCAATATATTTTGGATGTTTTTTTAATGTTTGTTTATGTTGCATTCTGACATAGTGTTGCTGGACAGTCAGGCTTGTGCTTGAGGATTTTTCATTTGGGATCTCAAATGACTGAAATTTTCAGGGGCTGACAACACCAGGTCACAAAAAGCCATGGAACGGCTAGGGTCGACATTGTCATTTTTAATGTGCAGGTAAACATCGGCATTCGACATCGAGGATGTTAGATAGATAGATAGATAGATAGATAGATGGTCTGCAGGCTTGCTAGATTCGATAGATGGATAGATAGAGATAGATCGATCGATAGATAGATGGAGATAGATAGATAGATAGATCGATCGATAGATAGATAGGTCGATAGATAGATAGATAGATTGATAGATAGATAGATAGTTAGATAGATAGATAGATAGCTAGATAGTTTGATAGATAGGCAGGTAGTGGCAGGTAATGGTAGGTAGGTAGATGGATAGATAGAATCATAGATCTGTGTATATTTAATAGATATATATATATATTCATATATATATATTCATATATATATATTCCATATATATATATATATTCATATATTATATATATATATTCATATTATATATATATATTCATATATATATATATATGTGTGTGTGTTTCATTGTCAGTGTGCATCTGTCTATGTCTCTGTCTTTTTGTTCCAGGCTGACTCACATTGTACCATATCCTCCATATCGATCCATATCTATCCACATTCCCAAATGGTGAGGGCGGGCTGCATCCTTCTTGGTTCCAGCCTGGCAGCATATATCGCTGTATATGTATTAGGTTACGATATATGACTACAATCCAATAGTTTTCGACCATTTTTTGTACCGCTGTTTGTACAATTAGACATAGTGAGACATAGAACCCTCCTGCTGCTCCTGTTGCTGCTGCTGCTCTTCCTCCCGAAGCTGAAAACGCACGCTGCCGGACAGGGAAACACAGTGGCCCTGAAGGACGGAACAGCGCCAAAATCGAACCCAAAAACTGCCTAACGTCCCTTCTGAAACCCTAGAAAAACAATAGTTTTCGACCATCTTTTGTACCGCTGTTTGTACATTAATGAGACATAGTGAGACATAGAACCCTCCTGCTGCTCCTGTTGCTGCTGCTGCTCTTCCTCCCGAAGCTGAGAACCGACGCTGCTGGACAGGGAAACACAGTGGCCCTGAAGGACGGAACGGTGCCAAAATCGAGCCCAAAAACTGCCTAACGTCCCTTCTGAAACCCTAGAAAAACAATAGTTTTCGACCATTTTTTGTACCGCTGTTTGTACAATGAGACATAGTGAGACAGAGAACCCTCCTGCTGTTGCTGTTGCTGCTGCTGCTGCTGCTCTTCCTCCCGAAGCTGAAAAAGCACGCTGCCGGACAGGGAAACACAGTGGCTCTGAAGGACGGAACGGCGCCAAAATCGAGCCCCAAAACTGCCTAACGTCCCTTCTGAAACCCTAGAAAAACAATAGTTTTCGACCATTTTTTGTACCGCTGTTTGTACAATGAGACATAGTGAGAAATAGAACACCTCCTGCTGCTCCTGTGCTGCTGCTGCGCTCTTCCCCCGAAGCTGAAAACGAACGGCTGCCGGGACAGGAAAAACACAGGGGCCCTGAAGGCCAGGAACGGCGCCAAAAGCGAGCCCAAAAAACTGCTAACGTCCTTCTGAAACCCTAGGAAAACATAGTTTTCGGACAAGATTTTTTGTTACCGATGTTTGGACCAATGAGACATAGTGAGACATAGAACCCTCCTGCTTTTTTTTTTTTTTTTTTTTTTTTTACTTCATGTTGCTGCTGCTGCTGCTCTTCCTCCCGAAGATGAAAACGCACGCTGCCGGACAGGGAAACACAGTGGCCCTGAAGGACGGAACGGCGCCAAAAGCGAGCCCAAAAACTGCCTAACGTCCCTTCTGAAACCCTAGAAAAACAATAGTTTTCGATAGTTTTCGACTATTTTTTGTACCGTTGTTTGTACAATGAGACATAGTGAGACATAGAACCCGCCTGCTGCTCCTGTTGCTGCTGCTGCTCTTCCTCCCGAAGCTGAGAACGCACGCTGCCGGACAGGGAAACACAGTGGTCCTGAAGGACGGAACGGCGCCAAAATCGAGCCCAAAAACTGCCTAACGTCCCTCCTGAAACCCTAGAAAAACAATAGTTTGCGGACAATTTTTGTACCGCTGTTTGTACAATGAAGACCATAGTGAGGACATAGAACCCTCCTGCTGTCCTGTTGCTGCTGCTGCTCTTCCTCCCGAAGCTCAAAACGCGCCCTGCCGGCCGGACACGGAAACACAGTGGCCCTGAAGGACGGAACAGCGCCAAAATCGAACCCAAAAACTGCCTAACGTCCCTTCTGAAACCCTAGAAAAACAATAGTTTTCGACCATTTTTGTTACCGCTGTTTGTACAATGAGACATAGTGAGACAGAGAACTCTCCTGCTGCTCCTGTTGCTGCTGCTGCTCTTCCTCCCGAAGCTGAAAACGCACGCTGCCGGACAGGGAAACACAGTGGCCCTGAAGGACGGAACAGCGCCAAAATCGAACCCAAAAACTGCCTAACGTCCCTTCTGAAACCCTAGAAAAACAATAGTTTTCGACCATCTTTTGTACCGCTGTTTGTACATTAATGAGACATAGTGAGACATAGAACCCTCCTGCTGCTCCTGTTGCTGCTGCTGCTCTTCCTCCCGAAGCTGAGAACCGACGCTGCTGGACAGGGAAACACAGTGGCCCTGAAGGACGGAACGGTGCCAAAATCGAGCCCAAAAACTGCCTAACGTCCCTTCTGAAACCCTAGAAAAACAATAGTTTTCGACCATTTTTTGTACCGCTGTTTGTACAATGAGACATAGTGAGACAGAGAACCCTCCTGCTGTTGCTGTTGCTGCTGCTGCTGCTGCTCTTCCTCCCGAAGCTGAAAAAGCACGCTGCCGGACAGGGAAACACAGTGGCTCTGAAGGACGGAACGGCGCCAAAATCGAGCCCCAAAACTGCCTAACGTCCCTTCTGAAACCCTAGAAAAACAATAGTTTTCGACCATCTTTTGTACCGCTGTTTGTATATTAATGAGACATAGTGAGACAGAGAACCCTCCTGCTGTTGCTGTTGCTGCTGCTGCTCTTCCTCCCGAAGCTGAAAAAGCACGCTGCCGGACAGGGAAACACAGTGGCCCTGAAAGACGGAACAGCGCCAAAATCGAGCCCCAAAACTGCCTAACGTCCCTTCTGAAACCCTAGAAAAACAATAGTTTTCGACTATTTTTTGTACCGCTGTTTGTACAATGAGACATAGTGAGACATAGAACCCTCCTGCTGCTCCTGTTGCTGCTGCTGCTCTTCCTCCCGAAGCAGAAAACGCACGCTGCCGGACAGGGAAACACAGTGGCCCTGAAGGACGGAACAGCGCCAAAATCGAACCCAAAAACTGCCTAACGTCCCTTCTGAAACCCTAGAAAAACAATAGTTTTCGACCATTTTTTGTACCGCTGTTTGCACAATGAGACATAGTGAGACATAGACCCCTCCTGCTGCTCCTGTTGCTGCTGCTGCTTTTCCTCCCGAAGCTGAAAACGCACCCTGCCGAAAAACAATAGTTTTCGACCAGTTTTTGTACCGCTGTTTGTACAATGAGACATAGTGAGACATAGAACCCTCCTGCTGCTCCTGTTGCTGCTGCTGCTCTTCCTCCCGAAGCTGAAAAAGCACGCTGCCGGACAGGGAAACACAGTGGCCCTGACGGACGGAACGGCGCCAAAATCGAGCCCAAAAACTGCCGAACGTCCCTTCTGAAACCCTAGAAAAACAATAGTTTTCGACTATTTTTTGTACCGCTGTTTGTACAATGAGACATAGTGAGACATAGAACCCTCCTGCTGCTCCTGTTGCTGCTGCTGCTCTTCCTCCCGAAGCTGAAAACGCACGCTGCCGGACAGGGAAACACAGTGGCCCTGAAGGACGGCCTGCGGGCAACGGCTCCACAACAAACTCCTAGCGAGCGGTTGCGAAACAACAGCCTCCAAGGCGAGAAACCAACAGCCAGACATCTTTTTCGAAACTCGTAGTCGTAGCCGTAGTCGTACTCGTAGTCCTGGTAGTAGTAGTAGTAGTAGTAGTAGTAGTAGTAGTAGTAGTAGTAGTAGTAGTGGTAGTAGTGGTAGTAGTAGTAGTAGTAGTCCGACAAGGGTCAAATGTCTTATTCCCTGGCGCGCTCCCCCTTGCGTCTGCCGGGGTCGGCGGATAGATGGTTTACCGAACTTAAAAATGGTGATTTTCCATGGCTATGTTAGTCATAACCAGATGGTAGATGATCTAGTGTCTCCGAATGATCCGAATTCCAGTGTCTCTGAGTGACATCCTCAGTTTCAGCTTTTCATCAGTACCATTCTTTCCTTCCCATCCAGGACGCCAGTCCTAGAAGCATCGAAAAGGCGTGGCGGCAGAAGGCGCTGACGGAAGGGGATGCCATTGCGCTTTTGGGGTTGTGGGGTAGAATTTTTGCATATCATAACTGGTTGGTGGTTTGGAGTTTGGAACATGGCGTTTATTTTTCCATTTCATATATGGGATAATTCTTCCCATTGACTAATATTTTTCAAGATGGTTAAAACTTAAACACCACCAACCAGTCATAATTGTTCAACACTTTTCTTTGGTTCGGAAAGAGACAGATTCATCTTTCTTCGTGAACTCGATTGACCACATGATAATGTCGACATAACTCAATGAAACTGTTTTTGTTAAGTCGCAGCTAGATTTTACAAAAGCAACTCCATGAACTCAATCAGTTTTTTTTAAACATATTTCCACGGGTCTATTTTTTTTTCTATGAACTCAATCCATGGAAAATTTCCGTTATTCGGTGGACCATCCCACGCAATCCAGCGTGGTTTCAGGCGAGGCAGCTCCACCCGGACAAGGCGGCAGATGATCGGAAGGCAGCTGCAGAGGAGCTGGTTGGATGTCACGACTGGGTGGATTGAACTACCTGCAGCCCTTGGAGCCTGCAAATTTCTAGTGCAATTCTGAATAACTATGTTATTCTCATGATTTTCTTGGAATTACGAGTACGTACGGATAATGTTGGGTTCGAACGGTTTTTTTTAGGGCACACCCAAAAAAGCAACATTTTGAGTGTTGTAACCCTTTTCCTTCCCACACTGTCTCTGATCCTTTTTCTCCACCATTTCCCCTTGGTAGATATGTGAAAATCACTTTGCGAACTAATTGCAACGGCGCATCAGCAAAAGCACCTGGGTGAGGTAGCGTTCATAGCACCTCTTTATTCGCGTTTTGGGTGACACACACCTCGTGAGATAACAGACACGTCCTATCATGTCCTCATCACATGAACATGATGCAGCGATGGGGTTCTCAAAGTACCCAAATGAATTGTATTGCTCCATCAAGAACTGCCGAACGTGGAACAGCATGTGCGACTTAGGCATTGCAGGAAATCTCGCTAGGCCCATGTTGTGACAGGTTGCCGCCAACCAAGAGTAACCCCTGAGAAAATGAGTAGATGCGTCAATGATGTAGCCACACAGGTCACCCTCAATGAACAATCCCCCAGCATAGAGCTTGCGCATAAAGTAGTTCAAAGCCCGACAAGTAGATGCCTTACTTAGTTTTGTTTGGGGTCGTTGCACCAGATCCGTGATACAACAGAAAAACCTTTCCTTAAACTTTGTTTGAGAAAAAGGAGACAGAACACAAGCACAAGTTGAACCAATATTGTCAAATGACAACTCTTCGAAGAACTTCGTTTTGGGAAACTTCCAGTTTTCGCGTGGATGTCAAATGCTCAATGAACTGGCACAAAACTGTTGTAAGGGCCCCTTTGCTCCACCCACCCGTCGGTTCTGCCGAGCCAATCCATCCCAAGAGTGACCGATCAATTTTCTGTACATAGCTGGTCTTGCCGTGTTCCTGAGGTCAGTTAAGCTGAAAGGCAATTAGTGCTTAAAAGGTTCATGGTTTTCAAACCGAATTCAAGGTAAAACATGTTTTCTTTGAGCAACAAGCCGTAAACAGGAAAATGTGAACAACATGATTGATGAATTCAGTTCAGGGTCGCTGCAATACTCCAGGAACAGGGATGACAGTTCTCTCAGCCGTTCCTCAATGCTGCTTCCAGGCATCAGCTCTTGAAGGATAGTCAAGCAAGACGCTGCGTAGGACTTCCCCACCCCAAGTGTCACAGTGTGGAACAAATCTATCTTGTGGAACAAGGTCTTGTCGGCCTCGCACATCAACACCCGCGTGAAGACAGCCTCCTCTTCCCACGGAATCTCCATACCATAGGTTTGCAGGAATGGTGGGTTATCAGACCTGAGAGTAGGCGGAAAAATGTGTTTCAGGTTTCAAGTTGAAAATATGTTGCCCAACTTGTGAATTTCAGTGTGCACCTTTGGGTGCCATTCCAACAAAAAAGTCTACATCAAAATCAGTTGAGATGCACATCTTCATAGTCCAACCCCGGTCTCCCAGCTAGGCAGATATGACAAATACCTGTGCAGGGTTTCTTGGAACTTCCTGCTTTTGGTACATTTCGGTAGCTGCGGTTCATGTTGGCGCTGGTTGCCTTACTGGGAACAATTGCCCGCAAAGACACACACACACACACTAATAGAATCATGTCCTTCAAGTGTGAACGTTGGGGGAAAGCAAACTTTTTGGAATTGATCACGCTGAGTCACAAGATAGGGCCAGTCCCCTTTGTTGCCCAAGGGGATCAAGTACACAATCTCCCCACTCCTCAGCCTTACACCTTGCCTAGAAGCTTCATCCACCGACCGCACCACAAGCTCCAAGAGTTGGCGATAGGCTTCACTGTTGTCCCTGTAGTCCTCCTTAGTTGGCAAAGGATATAGGTATACTCCATGGGCTGCAGGTTTAAAAACTATATGTAGCGGGTTGAAAAACAGATTGGCCTGTCAAAAGAACGTGTTGGAAAATTTTACCTTTCCACCAGCAAGAAACTCTCAGCATAGCTGCGAGCATGAATCGGGTTTCAAAAGCGTGGCCAGCAAAGTTTAATTTGGGCTCATCACGTCCGAGAGCATTTTGCCGAATTGACCCCAACTTTTGACTTAAAAGAGTTCCAGCACCAATGCCACTATGTATTGACAACACCAGGCATCCATCCTTCTTGTATGTGGTTCCTTCATCACCGTGAAAGTAAATTGGAACGCAACAACGTGGGCTCATAGCCCCCTGATCAACCAGCTTGAAGAATTCATTGGTTGGGTGCAGGGGTCGGTACATTGACCAGAACTTCTCCAGTTTGTCTCCACATTTCGATAGGGTGTCAAATTCCCTTCCGAATCCCAGCAGCTTAAAGAGTTTGCCGTGCCTCTCCAACGTTTGGACCAAGGACTCCGGGGTGATATAGGGAAATGCATGATCGTGACCAACCTTTCCATAGGAGAGCTTCACATCTAAGCGCAGCCCATGCTTTCCAAAGACTTTGGACACAATGTCTTCCTCAGCATTGTCCATACACCATATGGATTGGAGAAAGAATTTGACCACACATATTTAAGCTAGTATATTGCTTTCAAAATTTGTACTTTGGAAAAAATATGGCTAGCATTGGCTAGCTACGGCATGTTTCTCCGGGGCATTGTACAAATCACGAAGAACAGGGCAACATGGGGCAGCCTTCGCACCATCACGTTGGTCATAATCCACAGTTGAAGTGGCTTTCTTGATGATGTCATTGCATGGGGCCTCAGGGGGCCAAAGAAAGCACAAAGTTCACCGAATTCGGATTATGGGTTATATAGCGATAATCTGAAAAGTGTTGCAGGTCATTGGGCACCCTAAAAACTTTCAGCCTAATCCTTTCAGAATTCAATCTATGAAGCATATACTTGAACATTCTTGCTCTTTGCTCGTGGACATGGCGCCCGCTTCTGGCCAAGTGGCACCACGAGCATAGCTCCATGCGAGATCCACGGCAGCATCAGAGGGACCTGGCAAGATCAGTTGTGTCAACTTTATACTTTACTAAAAAGGGGGGAAGGTTCCACAGATGTGGAGAATTCATTTTTTGTCACAAGATGGCGGCGAGAATCAAAAACTGCCGGAGGAAGCCAACAAGTATAGCCCTGCACCCTAAGCTCAACTGATGCCGTAGCACGGTGCAAGGTTCCCGACACTGGCAATTCCAGCTAGCCCATTCTGCAAGTGAAACAAGTGTTGGACTATAGGTGCACTAGAGAGCTAATAACACTTGTGGTTTAGTGCGGTTTGAAACAAATTTGGTATGGCTTGGGCTAACCAGACTTGCACCCCCCACCTGCAGTGATCACACTGCTCGCAAAATGGTTCCAGCTTCCATTGTACCGGCTATCCACTGCATGCATGGCATCTCATCAACATATATTTTTCAACATGTCACCCTCTCAGTTGTACACTCTTCAAAGTAGCGTTTCAGATTTCAGACTATAGCTAAAAAAGAGAGATGCTCATGTGCATGGATCTAAGATCTACTTGGCTGCCTCTTTGGCTTTCGCTTTGGCCTTTACCTTAGGCTTTTTGGGGGCCCCTGTACCACCTGTGCCATCAACAGCTCTCTCAGTCTTAGGAGGCTTCTCCTTCGGCTCCTTGCCGCTTTTCAGCTTCTTGGCGTCAGCCAAAACTTGCCTAGGTTGCAGGGGCTTGTGGCGCAAAATTCAAGATGGATCAAGCAACAAAGAGAGACCCACACTACAAAAGAAGAGTTCGATATTAGTTATATAACTCATACATTATAGTTATATAACTCATACATTAGTTATATAACTTATATACCTCATTGTCTTTAGCCAGGCAACTTGAAGCGCGGGTCCAGGGCAATCAAATCTGCGCACCTGAGCCCAGGACATGTGCCCATCTGGACTGGGGCGATGCTTTGCAGTTGAGAGACGGTTTCTTCGCTGAATCTTTGGTCAAAGAGATCTTGCCCTTCAACCTTGGATGTGGGATTGGGGGCAATGGATGTTGAAATTCCTCGGGAAAACATGATGAAACAGTAGGTGTTGCAGGTAGGTCGTTTTCATCATTTTGGAGTTGCATATGCTCTCAAAATGAATTATACTTGACAGGTGCAAGTTTCAGACTTAACCACCAGCTATTATAGCTCTGGATCGAATTGTTGTGGCACTGTGGCTAGGTCGCTTAAACGACTGGTAGACTAGATAAGTAAAGAACGGTCCTCCCAGACTGTCCTGAACGGACTCACCACCATCACATACGTTGCGGCAGCCTGGTTTACCTTAGTTGGCAGGGCACCAGTGAGGGGAAATGGATGGATATGGTTAATATGATTGTGCCATAGTCCTAAGTTTCGGGGAACAACCAAATGGAGAAAAATTGATAAAACAATGCAAGTTACCTTTGTATTTCTGAATCAACGACGCTTCCAAAAATGCTGGACCAGTGCTTTCATGAGATGCGAAAAGTACGCACATCATTTGCCACTTTTGGTGCTTGTCCACAGCATAACCGAATTTGTTGTTCCAAAATCGGAAATGTGGACAATGGGTGAAACCAAACTTGAAGACTGCTGGCCACTGCTTTTCAAGAATCTTGTCGACAGTCTCCATCGTATGTTTGACTACCAAACCAGGCAAGCTACTTTTCTTGGGGAGCCAAAGTTCTAACGTAGGGTCACCTTTGATTTTGCTAAAGCATTCAAACGTCCGATCTAATTTTCGAAGGTTGTCATCCAGGCCCAGGGTCACATCACATTGTGGTTCAGAGGGGTCCTGTCGAATGCATCCATCCCCCAAAAATGTGGTGAGCATTTCTGATCAACTTGTGAGTATTTGTGGCAGCGGTCCTCAGGAAAGGTTGGGGGCTTCATCATCACCGCTGGCTTGGCCTACCGCTGGAGACTGCTTTGTGTTTCGAATGAGACCTGACTCCAAGTATCATTATAGACTAGAATATCATAGGTCAAGAGGGGCCACCCACCCAAAAGTGCCTCACGGTTGTGCTGGATGAGTTCCAGTAGCCACAAGCTTTCATCATCATGCGGTTCGACATCCATGAAGTCCACCATATGAAAAGAGGCAGCGCGTTTTTGACTCAAACGTGATTGAATTCTGCAAGCCCCCAATCCCACCATTTGTCAAGTCACTAGTGCATCATTGTTCAAAATTGATTGGGTTTTTTCAGTGACTTGGTGCATTCATGGTAAGTTAAAATATTTTGCGGTGATGTCCCATGACTTTGAGCCGCTAACATCAATGGACTTTAGACGTGGCACATCGATCCATGCTATCAATGCTGCCTGGCAACTGAGGACTGATGTCAGCACCTTCATCCATCAAAGAGATCTCCGCCTTGAGCCCTGCAAGCAATTTGAAGCTCTCGGTGAGGCGGTCGTTGATGTGGGTCAGCTCTGTCTGCAAACTAGGCCAAAGCGAACAGCAAACCCACAGGATTGGATTGGATATCTCTTGATAGTTTTGAATATAGTTTGCCATGCAATGATGTTCTTTTATTACAAGTATTTTGGATCCGTGTTTATAATTGTGTTTACAGGGTTTGGGAACTAATGCAGTGGAAAAACTCTTTTGACATAGGAAGCTCACCAGCTTCAATCTCTAGCTGGCCATTCATCCTGTGCACCGTCATCATCTTTTGGTGGACGTTATCCATGAACTTGACCAAGTCTGGCAAGACCTGCGCAATTTCCGGATAATTCCCAGACAGATTTCGTATCAACAATCATGCGCCTATCCCAAGCGTAGTTGTTTTCACTTTGGGGCACTCCATGATTGGATTTAAACATTCACAGGGCCTTGTCTCCCATCTTTTCTGGCTCCGGAGTCATGCCAGTTTCGTCAACAAGTTGCAGGGGTCCACCAGGAGCATGAATAGGTTCACAAAGCTCCTGTACCTCAGAATGTATAAGCATGTGGGCTGGAAATGGCTATATATGTTTATCCACCATGTACAAAGAGTTAAGATTATGATATCTATTGTTCAACATTTGTTCAACCATCCGGCACCCCATGGCAAAACCGAGGAAAGCAGGTCTTTGATGACAAGTTTGACGACTATAGTGCTGCCATGGTTCTCCCTGGTCAGAAGCTTCAGTTCGTTTCTGCATCTCGGTCTGACGCACCGTTTGCTTCGTGTTGGTTTCGACAAAGTACTCTTTGACCCGGTTGTTGTATTTCCAAGACCTGAAGCAGGAGTTGCGCCCAAAGATATACCAAAGCTTTGATTCCAGATCAAGTTCATTATAGTTCACTGGCATAAACATTTTGCATAAACCATATACGCTTTTACAACTTTTATTGGGTGATTTACCATTCTCACCACTTCCCCACCCCTGGCCGTACGAGGGCAGCTGGAAATCGCTCGCAGTACTGGACGATCGACTTGATGGCGTCCCTGAGCGAGACCAGACTTGATGTGGAAGGGCATAGAATTATAAACAATAAACGCTGGGAGGAAGGGCATAGAATTATAAACAATAAACGCTGGGAACACCAGTTCTTGATAGCCTTTCTTATCTTGAAAACTATAATTATATGGTCTAAATCAGCTCTGAATGCAGCCTAACTACGCGGAGTAGTCACCACTTTTTTTCATCTTTTGTTCGGTGAGCCATTCACCATTGACTTCCATCTCTTTGGTTTCCATGCGCTCCCGAACAATGATGACGCGAGCAGCAAATTCAGCCTGAAATATAGCAGTGGGACCATGGTTGTGAGTCAATCCTTCAATTGGGGCCGTAATTCTATCATTATTATTCATTATTATGGTGCCATGTAGGATGAATTATAGCTCTCCTGTATTGGTCAATCCAAGAAACACGGAGCTTCTTGTGCTGCCCCTTTTGAGATGGACCCATCTTGTCAAGTGTCTCGGTCAAGGCAATCTCAAGCCATTCTCGGGATTCACCTCCGTTTTTCCACATGTCATGTGTCTTGACATCAACGTGACACTTCTTGCTCTTGGGCTTGACTTCACAGAGTCTTCGTAGTCTCATTCGCAGTGCATCGTGACTGATAACCTCAGATTGGTTAGGATGGGTCTGGACTGCAAAATGCTAAGTACTTCATGTCTGTATGCAGAACTTGAAGTCTATCATACATGCACTCGTGATACAATATGATCATGCATGTGGTGTGAATGATACTTGAACCAGGAAACTTTGGAACCATGAGGCATGACGATCACATCGGCTCCATCACCCTCTTGTTCCTCTTCCCTCCCTTCATCATCTTCTTCATTAGCATCATTAGCCTCAGCTTCAGCAGCCTCAGAAGGTGGTGTATCCCGAGTTGCTTCTCTGGTAAGCGGGGATGCCACAGCATGCTTTGCCTCAGGTGTCAGGAAGGAACTGCAAGGTGGTGCCGGTGGTGCTGCAAACATGGGCTGCTGCTGGACTTGCCGCTGTTGCTGCATGAAAGCCATGAAAGACGCAAACAGGGCAGCCGGGTCTGCAAGTGCAGGTGTCGGCATGGTCGGTGCCGGGGCATTCTGAGGAGTAGCTACAGCAGTAACAGCAGGCATCTTAGGAGGAGCCTCTGTGGGTACTGTGAGCTCCTGGGTCTTGGGAACCTTCGTCTCCGGGGACTTCTTGCTGGGAGTTGGTGGTGGGCTGCTGCGTTTCTGCACAGGCACTTGCTGAGATTTTTGCTCAGGCTTCTCCGCTGCTTCAACACGCTGCTCCTCCCAGAGCGTGCTGGACATCACTGGACTATTCTGACTATTCTTTCAGGCTATGTAGAAAATAACAATTGAAACACCCGGGGCCCAAATACCAGGAAACATGGGTGATTGCCACATGGTAATGCAATTGAAAACAAATCTCCTGCGTTTCCAAGGTGTCTTCTGCTTGGACTGGAGCGGCCATCATTGCATCGATTTCAGATTGCTCCTTGGTGTCATGCTTGGGCACTTGGACTGGGGGCTAGATCAAAAAACTATTGCGTGAACCCCCAGAACTGCTTTTTAGTTTTTGTATAACCTATGATTGCTACCATGATTCAGCTGGAAGTGTGGCAGCAGTGGCAATGTCCTCCTGCAGCTCTTGTTTTGGCACCAGAAAGCGCCTGTCCTCAGCTTCATGTCAAGATCAATTATAGCTATCAGCATATTGGACATATATCAATTAACAAGTATATCGAATGTATAGTACAGCATGTCCTGTCCATCTATATAGTTTCCAGACCAAATGACCTGACACCTCTCTCTCTATACGCTCAACTCATGTATAGTGCTGTTTGAGCTGCGGGGGCGTCACCAGTCTGCAACAACTTTTTGGCTTCCTGGTCCAACTGGTCAGTAGAAACTCAGTCTGTACTGTTGGTACTTAAGGTGTTAGTGGTTTGATGAAGATGCCCCAAAATCCAACAATAATCCGACACCATGCCCAAGATGGGGTCCTGAATGGTTTTCAAGAGCTCTTCCTCGGTTAAAGTTGCTGGATCCATTGCCAAATCCATCCCAGCCATATCCGCGCAAACTTGTGCTCCTTTCTGGAGCTCGCTGCAACTCCATTGACTTGATTTGAGGGAGGTGGACATTTCCACCACCACAAACCAGTTTCTACCCTGGTGTTGACACTGGTAATTTGGGCCTTTTGCGCATCAGTTGCACAAAGTAATGCAAGCTTGTTGTCATGACTTTTTTCTCAGAATTTGGGAACCATGATTCCAAAAACCAGCAAAAAGTCGAAAAGGATGGTGTCAAACAATTATGCTTCCCACAAGTCATGGAGCACAGCTGGGAACCAACTGGAAAATCATATATAAATTGAATTGTCGCTGAAACTTCTGATCGAACAAGGTGTTTCTCTCCATGTTTTGAGGAAGACCGTTGGCTCTTTATCACATAAGAAAGTGACTTCTTTGAGATACCCACATTGCGTATCATCCAATGCTAGCATATAGACAGCACATTCTTCCAACTTTTCACCGTTTTACAGCATTTGTAGCTGAAGTATCCCGGCGTGGATCCATGTTTGGATGCATGCATCAATTGGCATCCTCAATTCGACCTTCCAAGGCGGCTAAAACCGCCAAAGATCTCTACGAAAAGCAGCAGGTGGTCTGGTCAAACCAGCATGGCCAGGGGCATGGGCACCAAATCCGATTCCCTAGGCCCTGGAACATACCCAAAATTTGAGGAAAAAAATGACATTGAGAATTGAACCAAAAGGCAATATTTTATTGCATTTCCGAACGGGTTGCGAACGGTATTTGAACGCATTTTGAACGCTTATTGAACGCATTTCGAACGGGTACGGGTTTGAACGGGTACGGGTACGCAAAAATATTGCATTTTCGGGTTAGGATTTTACGCATTTGAACGGGTTCGAATGGGTTCGAATGGTTTTGAACGGGTTCGAACGGGTCTGAACGTATAGGCATCCCAAAATATCTTAAATCACAAAAAAAAACAAAAAAAACACAATCATAACTATATAGGAATACTCTGGAGCCATTTTGTGGTCGTTTCAGCTCACATGTCGATGATGACCCAAGACCCAAGACCTGGCTAAGCTTCTGGAGAACTATAGAATTGGTCTTTTGTTTCCCATGTTCTTTCTTTATTCCACCAAAGGTTTTCATGAAACCATCTAAAAATGACAAATAATGACAGGAATCCAACCAAATTATTTACTTTATCAACTGGGGGCCCTTGTTCTAGAAATGATTTCGGATTATTTCGTGAAGTTTCAGTCTCAATTTCTGAAAATACCCCAGAACAACAGCTTTTCAATTATATTTGCTGACCATAGTTCCAGCATTTGGGTTCAATTCAGAGACCTTTAGGAATCGTTCATCTTATGGCGCCCCTGAAACTTCAAATTTTGGTTGGGAAGACAGCTTTCCACTCAGCTGGAAGCCTGAGGGATGTATTTCCCCTTAGGTACACCAGCAAGGATTTGAATCTCACTTCATCCCAACACATATCAGAATGCCAACTCATACTGTTGAAGATTGCAGGGCCGTCCGGCTGCGAGGTGACGGCCGGAACACCTTCACCAGTGCTCTTCAGCTGTGGCAGCAGCTGCGCCGTGGCTAATCCAAAGCGTCTAGGGTAGATCCTGGGCGACCAGAAATCAAGGAACTCAACAAAACAAGATTCAAAGTACACATCAATCATTCGATATTGAAGTTCCTCCACCATCTTCAAAGCATATACTTTGAACTCGATGTCATAAAGTGCATTTGAAATTCCATAGTTTGGATCACAATCTCTATAGAAAGATTTGGTTGTTTTAGTATGGCACATCAACTTGTGAAGGTGGTCAAAGTCTTTCCAAACAAGTTCCAGTGGATACCCGTACAATTCAAGCATGAAACACAGGACAGTTTGCAAGGACCATTGCAAATCACAAAATGTTGCATGAATCTATAAGACAAAGTGTCTGTGTTCGCTTGAGGGATTTCAACCCCTTGTATCGTACTCGCCCTTTCGAATCAACATATCGAGTGGTTGGTTTGTCCTCCTCTTTCTGGGTTTCCTGAAACTTTTTGAGGTTTAACTTCCCACGGTTGAACTTTCCTGCCACCTTCGTATTGGTGAAAGCCTTGTGCCTCTTAGGGGAACCATGGCCATAGTGCGCCATCCACCAGCAGCATTTGTATACCTAGGCCGGCTGAGAGGATGATGCATCCTATGTGTCCCGATCATGTCACTTGGTTTACTGCTACACGTCTGGGTGACAACTTGACAGCCTGTGCTAGACCCCGCAACACACCTATCAATTTGATGTTTGGACAAATCACAGGGATATGCTCATATAGCCATCTCATTTTGTCATAGAACTCCATGTAGCTACTGCCCGGCTGTTCAATCAGAAACGCACCTCCCATCGCCGTGATGAGAACACACAAAAGCACAGTCCTGAGGGCTGGGATATAGAATGGTTTGGGTTGCTGTTTGTTTTGCCAACTTATCTCATTTTCACACATGTCGTTCAATGCGTCTTGAAAATTATTGAAAAGAAAGATTCAAAATCAATAAGAAAAGCTGCAATTCAAGTTTTAAGTCAATTGCATTGAAAGCTGTTGTGAAGAACATAGGTTGCATCCAAAATTCCTAGCACACATGGTGTTTGCTTCGCAAACGAAAGACAGGCGCGTGTCACCACACGGCAATGCGATGGATCGTTTTGAGGTGCCTACATTCACTGCTGACCATGAGCTGCAAACCACTGCAAGGATGCTGAAGAAGTCTGACTCCCGGCATTGCAGTATCAGCCATATAGCAGTCCTTAGGATTGGAAATTAAAACCATTGGCTCTAAGGTTTGTATCGATGTGTACTTGAAAAACCCGATGGGATAATCAAAACATTTCTCTGTACTGCAGTATTTTTCCTTGGTCAACATGGTTTTCATTGGCAACATCGATACCACACAAGGATTGATTCCGTGTGATGTTAAAGTTCACATAAACCATGTTAGGATTGGTGCAGCCAAAATTCGCAAATCCTGCACTCGAAAGTATGTCCATTGGATTTTGTTTCAGGTGATTGGAAGGAGTTTCATGATACTGAACGTCAACACGGGCAGCAGGATATCCTGATTCAGAAACAGCCTGCCAAACATTCCCAACTCCAGCGTAGAACTCCACAAAGTTGAGCTCCTCCAGCGTTGTCATTTGACGGGGGATGTCTTGTAGATGCAGCTTTTGTGTTTCCTGTCGTATCACTTTCCTATTTTGAAAGCAAGTGGCCCACAAATATTTTTCGAAGGGCTCATGATGGTGATTCACATTGCACAACAAAAGACACTTTAAAAAAGCAACATGAAACAACATGAAGCAACATTGCTGTGAGTGGTCGATACTGGGTGTGGTGTCCAATTTGAAAGCTACCAACCATCCCCAATCAACATCCATGCAATTCTCCTGACATAGATTTCCAAGATTCGCGGAGAAGTAGACGAGGACCACCGCAGCAACAAATGCCTTGAGCATTCGAGTGATCTAGGTCACACTGCTGTATATCTCGAATAAGTCATGCAGTGCGATTGGCTGATACCTATAATCCATGCCTCAGCTGTAGAAGGCATATATACTAGTAATGGAACATCTGCGATAACAAGTTCAATTCATTTTGCAAAAGATTCATCAATCAATGAGGGAGTAGGAAGGACCAACACCCAATATCAATCTTTACCATTTACATCATCGACTCTTATGATTAATTCGATCTATATATATAATCTTTATAGATCTTACAATACAATCTTTCCATCTTTCATGGCTATAGCTATATCCCAAATCTTCCCCAAGTTATGTTGCAAACCAAGATGCTTTCGGGGCTGACAAAGCCTCCAACTTGGCTACCAAGGAATTGATATTCACCGGCATGCCGCTTGGAAAAACGGCAAGAGCTTTTGGCCCTTTGAGTTGACAGCTGCAATGACCACTTCAAGAATTGGATCCCGAGTCTTGCAGTATTTTGTATTCGGGGAAGCGCTAGTACCAGAAAATGCCCATAGGTTCATTCAATTGAACTATAGGTTTCAAATGGTTTCAACATGAAAGAAATTCTTTTGGAGTTTCATGTCTCCAACTGACTTGGGAACTAGTGGATGCAACGCAATCTCACGCACCGAAACTGCAGGAACCCAAACTTGAAGAATCCAGCTCTAAAGAACCTATAATTTGATTATTTTTTGTTTTAGATGTGAAGTCTGAAACTTCGAGATCTTTTCGTGGTTTTCAGGATCTT